AATATAGCTGTATAAGCACGAATGGAAAAAAAAACATAAATTTACTGGTTGGAAATCATACTTTTTTGTAATAACACTAATAACATAATATTTTCTAATAAAATATGAGCATGAGTTAATAAGTTTTTATTTGTTATTTATTATGATTAAATATAATTAATTATACTTATTTAAAGTAAATACTCCATAATKTATTAAAATACCGATTGAAATATGGGAATATTGTCTACAGTTGTGAAAGTGCATACAGTATAGAAAATGAACAGTGGTTTTAAATTTGTTACAATTTTTTTATTTCGTTTTTAAATTAGATGTTATTGATTTTTTAACGACTTTTAAATCAAATATCATTAAAAAAGTTATTCAAAACTCATAAGGTACTGAGATAAATGGTGAGGAAATAACTGTGGATGAGTGTTAATTAAGATAATTGCAGTAAATAAGATGTGCGAGACATAATTTAATTTGAATTATTTGTATTTGGCCAGAGTTTATACACAGMTTAAGAATTATTCACGTTAATATTTCAGGTTTGTTTTCGTGTAWCTAATCCAATATCATAAAAGAATAGCCATTTGATCATAATTAGTTGTTTGACTAAAATAATTATACCACCAATTTATTATAGTGCTACATCAATAGTTTGTATTCTTAAATTTACATGTATTAACGTATTTATATTATACATTATAATTGTGTTTCATAGTTACGAGGAAACATGGAATTGTAACAATCAAATAACAGTTAGAATGATCATGACTGAATCRTAGTTACAGACTTAATATAATATTTATACATTTTGTATTGGAGATTAAATTTGACATRCCTACAATCCAAGCATTATGCTTTCCCATGAACACTTCACTGAAAATATTTAATATGTAAATTTATCAAATAATTCACTAGTACCTATAATTTACAATTTWGTTTTAAACATATTTCTGTGGATAAATCATAATAATAATTATAAATTGAAACGATATAATTTAATAATATAAAGTATCACATAATGCCCGCATAAAATAACCAATAATAATACACGATCAATTATAATACATATAAATACAGTAACTCTTAATTTAATTTTGTGAATTGATGCAAAATGTTTTTGATAATGCGTTAACTCAATACATTTTAGAAATAATAAATAATACATTTCAATGCATAATACTATAGATATTTATTAAATTTTTAAAATTCACCAAATCTTGGAGACTATGTACGTGTTTTAAACAATTTWTTTTTAATTATAAAAACTTACATAAYATGATACACAATTTTTGTGTAAAAAATTATATCTTCCCAGTATAAACTATACCATTTCTGAATAGCTTTTTAATATACTATATTTCTATTCATGTAATATCTATGTGAGAACTGATAACAATAGTCGATCACAATATTGTTCTCGAATATGCATSAAAATATACGTSATCTCTACAAGTTTTCTCGTCAAYGATAACGGTAGATATACATCATTTTAACAGTTTTGTAAATACGTTCCACAAAGTCAATTCCATTTTAATTACCTGATGATTTGAAATTTACATTGAAGAATTTAAATAACGTATGGGAATTAAATATTTCCTTCTAGATAATACAGGGGTAACAGAGGAAATAGATTAGTGAATGTAGTACAAATGCTAAATTGCTGAGCTCATATTATTATAATATTATGAAATTTCAGAGTGAATATGTTTAATAACYCTGCCATTGGAGATAACGTTCTCTTACCTAGTTTATATGGTCCAGATATGTTCCCACAGGACTCTTTCACTTCTCTATTATCCCAGCCAATCGGATAAATAGCACCACCACTGCTCACGAGAGCCGCTGAAAACATAAAAACCAGTATTAATAATTATGATTAACTGAAAATTATGTCATTACAAAAATCAAATATAGTGGATCAATAATATTATACATTTGAAAAGTAAAATAAACATAATCATAAAATAATAATTAATTAATAAATATAAGGAGATATAGTCAGGAGTAAATAAACGGTTAAAATAATTAGAACATTTTATTAAAGTTTCACAAAAAAGTTAGAAATTAAAAATACTGGCAAATTGCTGTACTGTAAAGTAAATTTTCAGAGTATAATTCACTGTAATGGATGCGTTAAATTGTAAACAGAAATAGAGGGCTGACCTTTATTTTGAAGGATCTTTTACAATTTATTTTTCTATTAGTATGAATCGGTAAGTTGAATTATTTTTTTTCAAGATCATCGCATAAATTATATCTTGTATTATTGTTATTGACTTAGTATAAGTCAATGTTTCAATGTACGTTGAGACGAAAAAATAAGCCTAAGAAAGTCGTGAATAAGTTTGTGTGCACACTGCGCATAGATTAAATATTTTGAAAGATTGAGTATACAAAATTAAAATATCCGTAAGTTTTGATTAAATTTTACAACAAAATAATTAGATTATTCAGCAGGTACATAATTACATAGATTGGCATATTTTATGTCAATCTTTAATATTATATACTTACGCTATGTTTAAATTTGAACCATAAATACAATTTTCATAGCTTMGATTATGTAAGTGAGAATATGAAATCACAGCGAGAAGTTTGAATTTGTGAGTTAAAATACATTTGATCAGGTCTTATGATGACAAAAATAAGAAAAGACATTCATGACAGAAAAAATAAAATCCACAGAACTAGTGTAGTAGGTTAATAAATTAGCAATTAATTAAAATTATTCATAACTTTCCAATTTATAAATATGTTAATTTAGATTAGCATTTCAGTTATTAGGTACCATGGGATTATTTTTATAATTCAAATGAATAATGACACGGTTCATTTGAGTTTGTCGATTAGACTATTCGTTTGATGTTTCAATACTGTAATGCAAAAGAATCGCATTAAAATAATATGATGTAATCAAATTTAATATTCTTTTGAACTTTCGCATTACATTACTGACAAGACAATTTCGCCATATAATACATAATGTATTTTGTTTAAACTATATACGTATACATAATTTAAAATAATTGTGACCCTAATAATATTATAAAAATATTGATTATTATTTGTTTTTATCAATTTCTCATTATTTTTTTACAATTTTTTCATTATCTACTATAAGTTTTCAAAAATATTTTGTTTGTTAAATATCGTCAGTACTTAACATCTAACAAATATTTAACTGTTGGAAGAATCCTTGTTTGTAACAACACTCTACTAAAATATGAATCTAGACAAATACAATATTTTTGAAACTTATATCAGAATCTAATAAAATAATAATTATGAAGCATTTAAAACTGTATACAATCTACATTATCATTACAGCCATAAAATAAAAAAAATAAATTGATTTGGTGTTAATTTACTAGACTTAAATAATAGTATTTTGTATAGGTGTTATATAAGTACTGCTACTCGAAATACAAATTGTAAGTCTACCAAACTATTTAATTCAACTTCTGTTTACTTTATCGAGTGTATCGCATTAGATTTTCGGGGACGAAATGTATTAGAACGGTGTGTATTAAACCGATCCAATATGATATGCTAAAATGCTAAATAGGTAATATAGGTACTACGCGTCATTGACCTATTATCGTTATCGCGGATTGTTTGTATGACATAACTAGACAAGAACAAGGACTAGCTGATAAGGTTTTAGGTGGAACCCAAGAGACATTGCGTATAGAGCAAACTCTAATAATATATTTTCCATTCAGATCGCATAAATCCAACTAATAGAGTATTGCGACCACGTAGTTCTAGCTGGTACTATTCATATCCCGTCTGCTTATGCACTGCACAGTGTGGTTCATCTCYTCAAGCTGGAGTGTAATATTTAAACTGAAATGCTTTTCAGTTTTAGACATTGTTCACAAATTGAATATATAATTTCACGGCAATTAATATTCATCCACACACACGCTCGCACACATACATGCTGGTTACACACTTTTATTCAAAACTCTCGTCTCGAGAGGGGGAAAAATGTAAAAAATAACTACAAACATTTATCGTGCTGTTATTATGTACCTATATACGTTTACAAAAGTGGGTATTATATTATATCATGATTTATACTTCAAGTCCGTGTTAAATTTTAAAACGGGTAATAAATAATAAACGAATATTTTAATGCCACACAAATTTATGAACGAAATAATATACGCAAGTCTATAGCCATATTATATAATTTTGCGACCTCGRCGGGAGKTTTTTTTGTCGGACCCTTCTCTAGTCAAAACTAAATCATCACACTTGACTCAAAAGATGTCCATTGATTGTCCCAACTGTGTTAATTGTCATTTCCAATCAACATCGATATTATCATATAGGTATATGATAATCACCTAACCTGTGGCGTTATTAATTGCATGACGGTCTAAACAATGGGGCAAAATAATAGCCCATGCATATCACCCTCAATACCGCCTTTGAACCATTTGTATTGTCTGTCATATAATATGTGAACATTGTTTATGGGTGAATAAACAGGATATGAAACACACACGTTAGAGATAAAAGTAAAAAGTAAAACCACCGTATATACAAAATTATAATTCGTAATAATTGATCAAATGTCACAAAAAGCCAATGGACATTTAACAATACTAACAATTTATGATTAATTATCACTTCAAAGTTATCACAAGTTATGAAAGTGTACAATTAATAATATCATGAATTTCGAAAAATGCAAAAACCTTCAACTTTGTGCACTTTTTTGTCGATTTTTGTCCAGCTGGACGGTACGAACGATTAATATAAAAATTACTGAAGAAAAATACAGTATTTATCTATTATTTTACCTGTTACGTTATCTAATATTTTTTTTATTGGAAAAGAGACATTTTAAATATTAAAATAGCAATCTAGTCGTTATGATTATTTATTGTTACACATATTATTAAAATATCGTTAATATAAAACACATTGAATTTTAATGAGCGGCGGTAGCCATACCGTTTTAAATGTATTATTTCTACTAATTTCTATAAAACTCTGACTTCTGAGTGAGGTTTTATTTCCGTTCTACTAAATGAAGAAGCACTAAATTGACATTTAAAATAACTCGTTTTATTATTATTATTATTATTAAATAAATAAGTAACGTTTATAAAACGTTGTCGGAAGTTACGTGGTAGACGGATGTGGTGAAAATCGGTTTCATTAAAATATAATATATAAATATATTTTTAAACATTTTTTTTCTGCTTTATGGGCCGTTAAGACCTATCGCAGCTTCTGCTAAGCCTCTCTACCTGTCACGGTCAATAGCTGTCTTGAAACTTGCTGCTCTGTTCACCGTTCTTATATCTGCATTGACTCTATCCTGTCATCGTTGCCGAGGTCTTCCCATGGGATTGGCC